CCCTCTCTCTCTCTCTCCTGATCTGAGAAGGATGGGGAGGCAAAGCGGGGACCTGCGGGTCGGCGGGCGCGCTCCCCCCCCCTCAGCCGGCCACCCTGCCGCCCTCTCTCTCGCCCTCACACTCTCCCCGACCCTTTTCGTTGCCGTAGCTCCCGTAGCTTTGAAGATAGCATGCTCATAGCGCCTCTGAGTCGGGTGCGACACATCGCCTGCCGGATGGAACAGATGATGATGAAGATGATGTTTGTTTCACCCTTGCGCCTGCGCTTGTTCGCCGGCTGCCAGTTCTGCAGGACGGAATACTGCAGGTCTGTACGGGGGCCGTGCCTGGCACCAGCGGTGGACACCCACCGGAATAAATCGGAGCCCGCCTGCCACGAGCGGACTCGACGCCAGTTCCGCAGCAACGACACGCGGAACCGCGGAGCAGTCGCGTCCTCTGGAATAAGGATAACGATGCGGGCGTCGCAACCGGCCGCCGCCTCCCGGGCGAAATGCTCCAGCATATATATATATATATATATATATATATATATATATATATAATCGCTCTCGGGGGGTGAGCCCACACTACGTGGCCCCGCAGATCCTGCTCGAACGCAGTCAATTCGGGGAAACACCAGTGGGGCGCAAGCGCCGGCAGGCCAGCGCGATCCGCAAACAAATCAAGCGAGAACGAGACCTGGCACCTCGCCTCTACATCCCGGAACAAATCGCGACGCAGGACTGCGTCACGGAGGGGGCACTCTGCCCAAACCAACGCGAAGCTTGGAGAGCGGGGCCCGCCGTCGGCTACAGGATTGTGAACGCCGCGAATATGCACGGCGAGCGCCCAGCATTGCGCATTGCGTTCTGCCGCCTCGAACCGGCCGGCGAGCTTCTCTAGAGACGGCACCCTCCCGTACCGCATGTTCACATAGTGAACAGCCGCTGTGTTGTCCATGCGGAATACAACCCGCCACCCTGCAAACGTCTGCCCTTCGCGCAGCAGGCATTGCAGGGCGACCCAGAGTTCCTTGTAGTTGATGTCTGTCGCACCGAGGTGGCCTTCGGTTAAGACAAAAGCATCTGGCCACACGCCTGACACGACTCGGCTGTCGGCGCAGACGTGGCACGACCAGCCTACGAATTTGGATGCATCTGTCTCTATTACCTGGATGAGCCCCTCGTTGGCTAAGGAACGCCAATTGAGGAACTCGGGCGATTTGTGCCCCCAGGAGGATAAGGAACCACCCGCACACTGCAGGGAACGCACTGGTGGAGACTCCAACGCTCGTTACAGCCAATCGAGGTTCTGTAAACTCAACGGCGAGAGGTGCACCGCTGGATCGGCGCTTGGCTGGGCCTGCCAGAGAGCGCACACGCCTGTGGAGTTCACGTCGACCCACAATGGGCGCAAGCGTCGTCGCGCCTGCGGCCAAATGTCTGCTATGTCAGATGCAAAACCTGCGGCGGTGGCAAGCTGCCTCGTTCTCAGAATTTGCTGGCTGTTCGCAGCAATCAGCTCTAAGCACAAAGCCCGGCAACGCTCGCACTTCTCGTCGGAGACTGTCACTACACGACGGGCAGTATCAAAAATCCACCCTATCCAAACCTGTCGTTGGCTAGGCGGTCGGACGCCCGTGGGTTTCGCGCTCACGGGAATTCCACACTGGATGAAGAAACGCACGGCGGTGCGCAGCTGCCTCCACGCCTCATCCTCGCTCTCTGCGAAGCCGAGGAAGTCGTCGACGAAATCGAGCAGAGGCACAACTTCTCTGACCAAGAGAATGCGAAGGATCTCCTTCGCGGACGAGTCGTTCGTGCCCGGGGCCGGCTTTAAGCCGAAAGGAAGGTAATCGAACTTTCCGTAAACACGGCGGACATTCGAGTAGAACCCCAAGAGGAACGTGTCTGCGTCCGCTACCCTCCAATTGAAGAAGGAGTCTTGAAGGTCGATCACGTACATCCACGATCCAGCACCTAACATGCTAACGGCTTTTTCAATGGTGCCGTAATTGACGTTCACCGCTGGGAGAAGATCGTTAACCCCGCCCCGCCGAATGTCGACAATTAATCGGGCCTTCAGCCTTTCGAACTCCGCCGCGTCCGAAGGAACTCCTTCCCTTTCCTTCAAGATAAGGCCGAGCGGATTTACGTTGAGTGCTGCCGGCTTGGCGCCTCCTGCAGGAATAAATGATATCTTTCCCATCGATTCCAATCTATCTAGCTCCCGCTCAGCCCATTCTGGATTGTTCCGTGCCGATGGATGGTTGGGAAAAGCGCGGGCGACGTGACGGGAGGCTCCCAAAGACCGTCCATAGCGCCATTGTTCGAGAAACTCTGGCGAGGCCCCGCACAGCCTGAGGAAATCGAAGCGAAGTTTCAAACCCCGCACGTTCTCCCAATCGGCGAGGCCGGCATTTCCGAGCCGAATCTCCTCCCGGAGAGCCTCCATCTTGAGCCGGCCCAGCTGCGGCGCGACGCGGTGGCATGAGTATGGCAAATGCTGCTCCTGCTA